TTTTTTTTTAGGAGACAGCTCTTCCCTAGTTGTATTCTGAGTGCCTTCCAACCTGAGGGGCTCATCTTCTAGCACTGTATCTGGCAACATTCTGGTGCCATTCATCTTGTTTCAATATTCAATACTCTGCTGCTTTCTGACAGTGGTCTACCGTTATTCATAAGGCTTTCAGTAACTAAATATTTGGAAGTAGTCCATCTTTCCTTCTTCCTAATCTGTCTTAGTCTGGAAGCTCACATGAAACTTATCTACCATGGATGACCTTCTGGTATTTAAAAGAACAATGGCATAGCTTCCTGAATCACAGCAACACACAAGTCACCACAGTACAGCAAAGTCACAGATGAGTGGAGGGGCCTATATGAGAGGGCTTCACAAATTTGTGGAAAAATGGAATTGAAAAATAATAGAATTTTTCTACACACTTTTTGAAGCCCCCTCATATAGCTCTGGAAGTGAGTGAAGTCTTTAAGAGTAAAGTCAAAAGAAATGCTCTAGTTGATGAAGTTGTTTTCCACAGAGGTCTGGGGTGATAATTGTGGCATTGCTGTACATGTACAATGGGATTAAACAACTGAGTGAATGGATGGCAGGAGCCAGAATGCTGACTGTTGGAGTAAAACTATACAGATGAGGAAGGGGAGGAGGTCAAAACAACCCATGTGGTAAGAATCTATGTTTACTGTATTACAGATACAGATGATTAAATAAAGAATATTTATAGATCTATGTGTAAACTCAGGTTAAAATACACACATACATTTTATTTTGTCAGCTGAGAGGGCCTAAAATAAATGACACCATGGTAGCAATAAGCATGCCTAAACCCCATGTGTTGGTTCCTAATACTATTATCTAATAAAATGAGCCAGGGCTTCTTAGAGAAATGGCTGATTCTAGGATGAGACAAGAGATACGCAAGATGAGCCAGAGTATGTAGTTGTACTAGGAGGTAAGGAAGTGGTTCAACAACAAAAATCCCGCAATGATGAAGAGTATGCCGCCCACAGTGATACTGTAGCCAAGTGAAAGGATACCCAATGGCCAAAGAGGAAACAATCAGAGCAATAAAGTAAAGCAGCCTTAAATAATATCCCAAAGTAAACAATAAATGAGTCCACGCTGAATTAAATACATGTATTATATAAATAAATGGAGGAAAAGAGACAATTCTCCCATACAAAATCCCAAATACATTATGTACACTCTCAGCTACGAATGTGGGGTCCTTAACAGTGTGCCCCACCACTGCTTAACTGTGGTCTAGCATAGTGATTTCCTTCCAAAGAGTCCAGTATGGAAAGGAAGAAAAAAAGAGCTGTGCAGTGGAGAAACTTAACCAACACTCTTCAGTCAGGTACTCAAGGTCACCATCAGGGTAGACAGTATGTACCCGGGATATGATGTGATGAAAATTACACCGTACACCTCAGGTTTTCAATTCCTTCTACAACCCAAATATCCAAACTAATCACAAGAAGAACATCAGACAAATTGTCACAGAACTCTCTGTACTATCTACTCAATTTTTCTGTGTACATAAATGGCTCAGGACTCTTGGTATGGTGCTGTAGAATAAGCACTAGACTGCTAACCACAAGGTTGGCTGTTCAAACCCACCAGCTGCTACTCAGAAACCTCTAGGCATCCTACAATATGCCCAGCCAGTACTCCTCAAACTGTCAAGGCCATCAAAAACAAGGGAAGTCTAAAAACAGTCAATAAAATGCCAATTAGCATTTAAAAGCAAACAAGCAACAACAAGGCAAGTCTGAGAATCTGTCCCTGTGTAAGGAGCCAAAGCAACGCAATGTAATGGTGTTCTGGATGGGATGCTGGACTAGAAAAAGGAAATTAGGTAAGCATAAAAGAGGTGTGAATGAACTATGCTGTTGTTGTTAAGCGCTGTGGGGTTGATTTGGACTCATAGTGACTCTAATGTTTCCAAGGAGTGACTTGTGGGTTTGAACCCTCAACCTTATGCTTAGCAGTCCAGTGCTTATCCTATAGCACCACACCAAGACTCCAAATAAACTATGTTGTTGTTAAGTGCTACACTGAGTTGGTTCCAACTCATAGTGTCCTTGTATAGGGTTTCTGAGGAGCAGCTGATGGGTTAGAATGGATGACTTGATGGTTTGCAGTCCAGTGCTGATCCTATAGTGTCACACCAGGAGTCCCAATAAACTATTTGCTGTTGTTGTTGCTGTTAGGTGCCATCAAGTTAGGTCTGACCCATAGTGACCCTGTATAGGGTTTCCTAGGAGCAACTGGTGAGCTTGAACCGCCAACCTTGCAGTTCAGACTGACTTTGCAGGTTAATGCATTAACCTACAGTGCCACACCAGGACTAATGTATTAACAGTGGTTCAATAATTACAATAAATATGCCATGGTAATGTTAGATAGTAATGGTATGGGACAACTGTGTGGGAGTGGGGAGAGTTGAGAATTCTCTGTGCTATCTATTCAGTTTTTCCTGTCATCTAAAATGGCTCAAGACTCACTCCTGGTGTGGCGCTGTAGAATAAGCACTGGAATGCTAACCATAGGTCAGCTATTCAAACCCACCAGCTGCTCGTCAGAAACCCAATAGAGGATTGCTGTGAATTGGAACCAACTTGACAGCACTTAACAACAACACAGTTCTAAACTGAAACTAAACTTTTCTAAACAATAGTCTGTTAATAAGAGAAGTCTGCTACTCATAATAAAGATGGAATTAAATATCTTCTGGATGAAAATGTCCTACGGTTTCAGTGAGGGAATTTTTCTCTCTTCCCAGTTCTTGACTTCTGTACAACATTTAACTGTTGAACACTCATTCCTTCTTCAAACTTAGTCTTTTTCTTGGCACCTCATACCTATGTGACTATCTCTTCTCTGATATTTTAACTTCATCTTCAAGTACAATTCAGAGAAAATAATTTAAACAACATGGCAATTAAGAGGTACTGATTTCTGCCAGGTTGGCACAGTTTTTTTTTTTTCAGTCACTTTGCAGATTTGGAGAATTTTAAGAATCAAATGGGTAAATGAAAAGTGGAAGCAGAAATAGAGGCCACCCACTGGAGGAGTTTATTATA